GTTGGAGTCATCGACTGCCGCTTACAAGCGGGCCGCTGATTCTCGACGTCGCCATGTGGAGTTCGAGGTAGGTGATTTTGTTTGGGCTGTTTTGACAAAGGACAGATTTCCTGCGCACGAGTTTAATAAGTTGGCTGCACGTAAAATCGGGCCCGTGGAGGTTGTGGAGAAAATAAACCCCAATGCTTACCGCCTTCGGCTTCCTTCTCACATTCGCACATCCGACGTTTTTAACGTCAAACATTTGGTGCCGTTTGCGGGGGATAACTCGGAGGGAGACGAGACCGGTTCCGATTCGCGGCCGAATCCTTCCCAACCGGGGGAGGATGATGGAGACGAGACCGCGATAGCGTTTTTGAATAAATACGATCGTCTTCGTATCTAGCTTTTATTACTAGTTTTTATTTTACTTGACCTTATTATTATTTTGGGACTTTAAATAATTATTAGTCTTTTATTAGAGGTTAGGGAATGTTGGACTCTTGTTATTATTAAGTTCTCTTCCAGCGCAGAAGAAGAACAGTTTATCGATTGAAAATAAAAAAATATGTTCTAGCAATTGTGCTTGTTCTTCCCATTTCTTACTTACGCTCTACATCACCATAGTAGCTTGGTTCGAGCCATTCGGGAATTGTTTAGCCGCGCTTGGGTGACTTCAGTGGCTCATTGTTATAGAGAAGGTAACTTTACGGCAGCCGATTGTTTGGCCTCTCTGGCTCATTGCTGCCCTTCAGGATGCCAGAGATTATCGGATCCTCGTCGATAGTGAACCCGTGACTACAGCATGACTTAATTGACATTTCTTACCCACGGAATATAACTCTTGATGACCTTAGACTTTTGCCTCCTCTCTTTGCACCAAGAAAAAAACCAACACTTTCTTGTCAAAAAAAATGAAAAATGAAAACTTTATTGAGAATTGGCTTTGTCGGCCGCGGGTTCGAACACGGGACCTCTCGCATCTAAACAACAAGTACAACCTAAAACCCTCATAAGTTCCTCGATTTGAGAGGGTTTTCTCTATTGGGGGCAAAAAATGGCGAGAAATGCTTTGCTTCATCTGCTTCGATCTCAATCATCAACGAGCTTCCGTTCAGGTTCCCTCTTCAACATTTTTTTTCCTGCTCCATTTCTTGTTGCTTAATTTATATGCCCCTTCGCTGTTGTGTGCTAGATCTTTGATTTTTTTTTTTTCATTTTTTTTTGTTGATTTTTTGTCATAAAAATACAAACTTGTTTTTCTCCCTATTATGTATTTTCGAAGGTTACGATTGCTCTTCACAGGGAAGATGAGGCTGTTACAAGGTAGAAATCTGTTGCTCTTGTGTGTGTGTGTGTGTGTGTGTGTTGGTATTTTCTCTTTCACTGGAAAGAATGGTAAAACTTGTCCAGCTACCAGCAAGCAATTCATAAAAATTTGCCAAGCAGATGGTGAAAACTGGGTTGAAATGATGAAGTTTTATTTAAACCAATTTCTTGTGGAAGCTCGTTTTAGCCGTAATGATCATCAAGTAGTTATAAGATCTTAGTGTTTTTTAACATACGTTCCGAATTTGTTGATTGATAGCTGAGATGCAGAAAGTAGCTCACACGGCCCAGTTTCAACATATCTGCACACGTGAATACTCGTTATTCCTATCATTTTTCTTGTCTTGAATTTGCATATGCAACTTACAATTCGCAGCTGATTCTTGATTCTCATCATTAGTTAAACCTTGATATTAACACTTCACTCGAAACGTATCATTATTCTCAATTCACATTCACCGCCCCATCAGGTCCTCTCCTGGCCAGAGCCGGTCAACGGGCCCATGCCATCATCCCCAACAACAACATTGCCCGCCAAACCCGATTCTTATCCCGGCCGGACGAATCCAAAATTTCGATTGGGCCACGCAAAGAGTCGTGCGTTGTTGAAGATGGGGCTGAAGACCAAGAGCCCGGTAGTATCGTGTACCACGGGCCCATATCAAGCACGATCAAGAAAGTGAAGCTCCTATCCCTCTCCACCTGCTGCCTCTCGGTCTCGCTGGGCCCCGTCATCACCTTCATGACTTCCCCCGACATGAACGTCATCCTGAAGGGGGCCGTGGCCTCCACAGTCATTTTCTTGAGTGCCTCGACAACAGCCGCCCTCCACTGGTTCGTGAGCCCGTACGTGCACCGGCTGAGGTGGCGGCCCGGGTCAGACTCCTTTGAGGTCGAGATGATGACGTGGCTGGCCACGTACGCCCCCAGGACCATCAAGTTTGCGGACATTAGGCCGCCCGAGACCAACAGGCCCTTCGTGTCGTTCAAGGCCAATGGGGATTTCTACTTTGTGGATGCCGAGCACTGTCATAACAAGGCCTTGCTGGCGAAGCTGACCCCTTCGAAACAAGGGCGCGAGTCGGCTTTTAAGAACTTGTGATGTGTTTGTTTGAGAAATTTAAGAAATGTTATGTGTTCTTTTTTCTCTTTTTGTTTTTTCGGAAACTTTGCTTATGCAATAATGTGCTTTTGTTCTGATTGTGTGGAAAGACATGAATGCAGAGTATTGGAGATCAAGGAGACTACAACAAATTTCAATAGCCTCTTTCTATTAACTGTTTGTTGATTTTCATAACAGGACATGAAAGAATGAAAATCTCACACAACGGTGATTAATAACAGAAGGAGCATTTGAATGTAGAAGCATTTTTTTGTGTTCATTAAAAAGTTAAAATGTTGGTGGCTTTTCTCTGGTATAATTAGGTGAATGTGTGTGTTTTTGTTTTTTTTAGCTCAGACACTGAATGTTTTGAAGTTAAAAGCTGTGTAGCTAGGATGAAGACGACAAAATTCGACCCTACCAGTGAGGGTATCGTTAGATCATACACACACCCACACGAGTGTGTGTTGATGCAACAGTAAAAACGACGAACACTTGGTATCTAAATGAAAGGTTGGTATATTTGTTGGAATTAAAAGCATCCCAACTACATCCTAGGCATTTTGGCCCAAACAAGATATCAACTGTCCTGGCTTGAGTTATTTCCCTTCCTCCTGCATTTTATGATTAATTACAAAGTCACCCTTGAAGTTTAAACAAATTCCAAAAGAAAAAAAAATAAAGACCTGCTAAATTGCTCTGCCCCTTTATGTTTTTAACCTTTGATCTTCCAAAATTGCACCCCTCATCCAAAATTGCCAAAATTTTGGATGGATTTGACTCAAATTGTGGATGTTTTTTTTTATTACTTTATTTATTAATTATAAATTTATTTTAAAAAAAAAAGTTTCATTTGCAGACAAAGAGTAACATTTGTTGTTTAAGCAAGACTGCTCCTCATGGCACAAGTAGCGCTGCAAAGAGTCGAGCAGCTCGCGAGCGCTCGAGTCAAAGTTCGGCTCGAGCTCGAGTCGAGCTGGAACGGCTAGAGCACGAACTCGAGTCGAGCTCGAGCCCATATTTTACATTGTCGAACGGCTCGAGATATATGAAATTACTAAAATACCCTTTATATATATGTATTTAATTGTTATTTTACAAAATTGTTTGAAAAGGTTCGAACCGAACTCGAGCCGAGCTCGAGCATTTGAGCTCTTGTATTTTTTTATCGAGTCGAGTTCGAGCTCAGTTAAAAAAAAGTCAATCCTGCTCGATAAAGCCAATGCTCGACTCGTCTCGGCTCGTTTTCAGTCCTAGGCACAAGCATGGCATGAATTTCTGGTTTAAGGTACAAAAAGCATGAGAACTGGTTAGAAAGTGACTTGAATTTTAAATATTAACATTATTATATAATTATATTTGGTTTTACCTGCACAGTCCACTCATAAAAAATGGGTAAGAAAATAGCAGCAACAGAATAAAATCTTCTTGGAATTGATGTGTACTCTTGTTAGCTCTCTTCTGGTGAGTTATCAGATATAGTGAGAAAAAAATTGTAGAAAATAGAAATAAAACATTAGGACTATTTTATTATAATTTTATTAGGAAAAAAATAATTTAATTATTCTGAATTGAATAATTAGAGGAGCTTTCATCATCAAAACCCATTGCTTTCAGAGGGAACTGAATCAGACAAAAGCTTCCCAAAGGGCAAATAAAATGCATCTGCTTTATAACATTAAAGCCAAATCCAGGAATCTAACAGTGTTTTTCTTACTGCTCCAAAGCCTCCACTTTTCATCTTTTCACCTCAGCACTATTTATTCAATGCATTATTGTGTTGTAACAAAAGGGAGGGAAAATTGTTCAATATGTGAATAAACTATCAACTATTCTTTTAGGGAAATGATAAGGTCTCGATACGGAAATATTTCGTCGGGGTTTTTAACCGTTGGATCATCATGTAATCGTCAGATATAATTAATCTAATGGTTACAAACCCGGACGGAATGGTTCCGTAGCGAGACCGTAACATCTTCCTTATAATTATTCTTACTTTCTTTCCAAATCATATCACAGATATCAATCACTAGGCACTAATCCAGCAATAACAACATTTTTTTTTTCAATATAGCTGAATAGTGAGCTTCCACTTTTTATGGTTGGTTGAAATCTTCATTAGCCCACTTTAAATTTTTACCACTTTGATTTATGAAACCATCTCAGCCATTGGATTCTCATGCTTGTGATTATCATAAAACCCACTTTTTTTTTTTTTTCTTT